CATTCGATATGGACATTATCTATTCGATAATGAGTTGAACTACGAAAGAGTTGATGAAATCTAAGTTCAAGTGTAACCCAAAAATGTGGGGGTTAACATCAATGCTTACGAACGTATATGAAAAGTTCAAGATTTGTGGATACACTTATGAAACCAAAAATTCTTATTGAAGCGGCCCCACTTCACACTTACATATGTGATCTCCTATATGCACATTATTGGTGTAAAATCTCCAACAGATAACAGCAAGGCGAGAGTACTGGTAAAATATTGGTGAGCTGGAGTGATGAAGTGGAGAGTGATGAATTAATAATATCAATTCTTAACAGTTTCCAACCTTGAATATAGCGGCAACCTTCCGGAAAGCATATAAGATAAATGAATTTGAAGATTGCAACAAATTTACATATTATACACACACACACAAAAGAAAATAATCAGATATATAATAAAGTTTTAAGGGTCTTCAAGATCTAAAGTATAAGAACTTTGCAGCTCAAGTTGACTGAAAACAGGATGAATTAACAGCTACACTAACCTCGAGTGCCATCCAGTAAGGGCTTCCCTTAAATGAGAATGGAGAAGATTGCCCAGTGATCTACAAAAACGTAGCAATTGATTTAAATCAAATTTCAGTATCCATAAAATTCTTGACTGTCACTAAATGCACTACTGTCAAATATAATGTGCATTTCCAACTATTTCTCTTTTTTTATAGGCCGAAGATAAGAATCATTCGTCATCTTTTAATTTTTCATTCCGCATCACAAATCAACTCGTAGCTACTAGAACTAAGACCTGACCACATGTATGTCTCAACCAACTTCTACAGTAAGCACATGATTATTTTGGCAAATGCATGCAAAGCTTGCCAGGATTTGACTGCGGCAAACGTTCGACGCGGAATTGATATTTTGACCCATTCACGTTGCAGTATGGCTGTTTATAGAGAAAAAGCTAAATAATACAAAACAAGTTTCACAATCAAACTATTAGATAAAGAAGTAGGTGAGAAGAGTCCTCTTACATGCTTTGCCATCCCAAAATCTGCCAATTTTAACCTTGACGGGTTGCTCAATTGGTCAGGCCTTAGATTTTGCTCCCCAATGGTCATCAGTTCGAATCCCCTCAGAACCACTGAGATGAGTACCCGGTCGTAAATTTCAGGGCCCCGTGGAATTAGTCGAGGTGCGCACAAGCTGGCCTGGATATCCACGGTTATAAAAAAAATCTGCCAATTTTACCCGACCATTGGGGTCAACCAGTATATTTGCTCCTTTGATGTCCTTGAGCAAAAATTATTAAAATGGTAATTAGAATATAATGTCTATATCTTTCACCTTTATTACGAAAAAATTCGTACTTTTTTTTTGCATTTTCACCCTTAATTATACATTTGATTGCGTAAACCATCATCTATATCCAATTTCTCAATAAAAAGCTATGAAATGACGAATATATCCTCATATTTAAATAAAAAAAATATATGTTTTTAATTTCTAAATCTTTAATAATTTATTTGGGACTCAATTACATTTTTAAATTTTTAAATAAATTTAATTAGGACTCGTTTGCACTTTTTTTAAAATTTTTTAAAATAATTTATTGGGGGACTTGTTTGCACTTTTTGAAAAAAAAAATTAGAATTATGATTGCAATTAATTTTTTAGCTTTTTATTTCAATAGGGGGTATATTCGTCATTTCACAGCTTTTTATTGAGAAATTGGATGAAAATGAATGTTTGCACAATCAAATGTTTAATTAAATATGAAAATGTTAAAAAAAAATGAAAGGTATGGACGTTTTCGCACTAACGATGAAAGATAGGGGCATTATGTACTAATTAGTCTTTTAATAATTTATTTGTGATTTATGCGATTTTAAAAAAAAATTGGGACTGTAGTTGCAATTAGTTTTTTTTTTCTTTTTGTTTTATTTAAAGAGAGTGGTATATTCGTCATTTCATAATTTTTAATTGAGAAAATAGGTGAAAATGACCTTTTGCGTAATGAAATGTGAAAATGCCAAAAAAAATAAAAAATGAAAGGTATAAACGTTTTCCACAATAACAATGAACGATGGGGATATTATGTGCTAATTACCCCTTTTTTTTTATGACAAGATATTAAATCATAAATAACTTTTACACAAATTGATGAATTATTCAATCTTTTTGTTTTATTTAAAGAGAGTTGTATATTCGTCATTTCATAATTTTTAATTGAGGAAATAGGTGAAAATGACCTTTTGCGTAATGAAATGTGAAAATGCCAAAAAAAATAAAAAATGAAAGGTATAAACGTTTTCAATAATAACAATGAACGATTGGGATATTATGTGCTAATTACCCTTTTTTTTTATTACAAGATATTAAATCATAAATAACTTTACACAAATTGATGAATTATTCATTGTACCCAACATGTCATCAATATCATTAATATACTATTGCTAGGAAAATAACTTAGCAACCGAAAATGTAGGCTACCGTAGATTCATCTGTGTGTGACAATTGACACTAACATTATTGTACTTAGCCCATGTTTGTCCTTCATTTTTTTTCTCCAAACTCGTCTTTAACATAAATTCTTTAAATAAAAATAATTTTTCACTCGAATCCACAACGTTTTCCTACTTTTAACCTCGCATTTTTCTACAATTTTTTTTTTTTTTAAATCTCAACCGAACATGGTGCAAGTAGTGATCATATTTGAACTTCTGACAAGATTGGTCTAGGTAAATTTATACCTTAATTACATGCATAAATTAAATAGTTTCACAAAAACTAATGGGACAATGTCATTTGGTGGGCATACTTTTGACCGTCTCTCTTGAATACAATCCTTTGTAATGAACATAAAGAGCTGAATATTAGGTCGAGAAATCAGGGTACCACTATGTATGTGACCTCTAGTGGTCTATTGCTCAAATGAAAAAAAAAAAAAAATTAACTTTTTTTATAAAACCAGATCTAAAAACACCTTTAAAAAAACAGATCTGAAAATACATTTAAAAAAAAAAAAAAAATTCACTTTTTTTATGATCAACGGATATAAAACGATCAATAAATTGCAAGTATTCTACAAAAATTCACGAGTAGATAATACTCAAAATGGGAAACGAACAATTTTATAAATACAAATTTCTAATGGGAATTTGCATAGTTATTCTCATCTCAATTAAAAAAAAAAAGTACAATATATCAAAACAGAAAAAAAAATATATATTAAAACTGCTGCAAAAGATGAAACCCATAAAAACATGAACAATTTGATGATCCCTTATGAGAGGCACATAATTAATTAATCTTGATGATTAAATGAGAATTAAGATGTCAATCACAAAGAATCATTCATCTACTCCTCAATTCAGTATACAGTATTGAACAATAATATTATCGAGATTTTATGGTTTTTTTTTATTCTTTAATGTTGTCCGCGATAATGTACAATCCAATTTATCAAACCATTGGATTACTATTATATGCATCATATGCACAAATCAAAACTCCCAATTTATGTTAAGCAATCCCACTTACCATTTCACCCTCCTTGCTAATTTTAGATAGTATTGGAGTTAAATCCCTTGGATGCACATTGACCTTGAGACCATCCTTCATGAACAATGTCAATGACATTTTTTGCTCCACCCTGTGCCCCGGCGCCACCGTGAGACTGTGGCGAAGCAACACTGCTGCCGCTATCGATTTCATTTGCAAGTAAGCCAAGTCCTTCCCCAAACATATTCTTGGGCCAGCATTGAATGCGACAAATTGAAATTGATCCTTGGCTTCAAATTTCTTGCCATCTTCTGACAACCACCTTTCTGGCTTGAATTCTAGGCAATCATCTCCCCATATGAATTTCATTCGACCAGTTGAGTATATCGAATAAGTGATATTCGAACCAGCAGGAACAAAGGTGCCGTCCGGCAATGTGTCGTCGGAGATGACATGTTTGGAGTCCTCTGGAACCGATGGATATAGCCTAAGTGTTTCTGATAGTGCTGCTTTAAGGTATATCAATCGATCAACTTCTTCAAACACTAGGGGGTCATCGACCCATTTTGTAGTGTCGCTGCCGCGAATCTCCTTTAAAACAGTACAAATCTCAATCAGGATTTTTTCCTCCACTCTAGGGTTTAGGCTGACCAACCAAAAGAACCAACTGAGCGCCACCGATGATGTGTCACGTCCCGCGAGGATAAAATTGAGTGCAACATGTTGGAGGAACTTATCAGTGTAGGACTCTTTTTTCTTCATGAATCTTGATAATAAATCATCATGTTGGGCCCCACCGTTTTGCTGGCTCACCAACTCGAGCTTACGTGTATTGATGACATTGGTCATGTAATCGTCCACGTGTTTTATGCTGTGGCTCAAGTTGACTTCCATTCCGAGCCGAAGACATTTCTTCAATTTCCATACAAATTCAGGCAAAATGAATCGTTGGAGGGTGGCTTCGGTTGCTCTGTCAAAAGCAGAAGCGAAGTTGTTCTCTGGTAAGCCCGGAGAAAGAGTCTGTGGGTCCTTCCCAAAAGCCAAACCACAAATGTTATCAAATGTTAGTCGTAACAAAAGGTCTTGCAAATCAACCGCATTGCCCTCAACCTGTGCCGTGTATAGAATCGGGCAGAATCTCAACTTAATGGCTCGACTCACCCATCGAGCCATGGCTTGTCGGAGGGTCCGGGTGGTGAATTCTAATGCAGCCGTCTTACGTTGGAATAGCCACGTGTCACCATCAGAATTGAAGATGCCCTGGCCTAGTAGATCATGGAACACGGCTTGCCAAGTAGGTCCCTTGGGGTAATTTTCAAACCTAACCTTCAAAATGTGCTCTAAATTCTTTGGATCGCACGTTACAGTCACGAGCCCTTGCCTCCGGGCTAAAAACGGAATTGCACATATGCAAGTCTGGTACGTGCCACCGCACGTGCGGAGGTTGTCAGCGATCCATTCATGCATCCGATCGTTGTTCGCGATCAGGCCCGGTATGCTTCCCAAAATGGGCCACATTCTGGGCCCTTTCATGGACCTTGTAGTGGATCTGAACCACATCAAATAAGCTGCAACTAGTGCTAAAATCATCATAACGGTCGAGATATCCATCGGTCCAGCAAAAATAAACTAAAAGGAGAAAAAAGTACTTTTCTGTCAACTGTAATCTGGTTCTTGAAGCTTGTATATATAAGCTAAAAATAAAAATCCTGGATGACAAGATGCTGTAAAAAATTTATGGGATACAAATATGGAACAAAATTGTGAGAGAAACAATGAAAAAAGCTACAATGTGATGAAGAAATGAACAGAAGAGAGAGAAACGGTGTGTTTTTGTGTGTGAGAGAGAGAGCGAGGGAGATACATGTAGATAGAGAAGGTAAGAAGGGATGAGAGAGATCTGGGAGTGACAGAGAAGAAGAAAAAAAAAGTGATTTATAGAGAAAGAAAGAGAGGCAATAAATACATACACACATCCTCTCTCTAAATGGTCTACACTAAACTGCTTTAATTAAACAACATTAAATGCCAGCATAGGTCGTTGAGGCTGAAAATTAAACAGCTGCAGACACAGATTGTTCAACTCCAAATCTGTGAGAATGCAAAGACTTTTAAGTCAAAAATCACTTAGTATTTTAAGTCATTGATATTATCTCGTAACCTGTTTTTTACACTTCAATGAAAGCCACGCAAATGCAGTTGAGAAATAATCTGTCTTCGATCAACATAAATAAATTCCGTTTTGCTGTATTTCTTGCAAGAAATGCTCACCTAATTTGGCAGGAAGGAGCTTCTTATTAAATTCTTGCATTTAATGGCAGGGAAAAAAGTAAATGAGATTAGTTGAGGAAGCATGTGCATGCATGCAATGCAAGTGTTGTGGGGTCATGTGACAAGTGTCGCTGGCTTTATAATGGAGGACATAAAAACCGGTAGTGGGAAGTTTCCTATAGAAGACGTTGACGAAGCTATTGCACTTCTTGAAGGGCAGCAGTTAAGCGACGTATTCAATTGAAACTTTTACAGACTTTTAAAAATTTAGAATGTGTAACGATATTCAATGTAAATTATTTAAAATTCTCTAAAAATATTAATGTATTCAATAGAAATTTTTAAAAATTAGTCTATAAAAATCTTTAAAAGTCTCGATGTGTTCAATTAATTAATTAATTTTTTTTTTTTTGAAATCTTTTAAAGTTCAAACTATCAATGATTTTTTAAAGTTTTTTTTTTTTTTTTTAAATAATTGTCTTTAGAGTACTAATTTTTAAATATAAAATATAAAAACAAAATTTCAAAGAATGTCTTTCATTCACCTAAAAATTCTGGGAGATTTTAACGAAGGATTCATTTTAATATTTATTTTTTGTCTTCTACGAACTTTGAAATTATGATGAAAATTTTATTATTTTTTCTTCTACCTGTTCTATTTGTTCTCTTTTCTTTTTTTTTTTCTCTCTTTTTTATTATTTCTCTTCATTTTCTATGAAAAAAAGATTAAATTGTAATTAAAAATTCTTATAACAATTTGTTTCTTTTCTTCATCCAATTTTTTATGTAAAATATCAATTAGTAATTAGATTTTATGCTAAAAATGGCTAATTTTTAATTAAATTTTAAATATATTGATTAGTTATTTATTTTTATACATATTGATAATTATTGAACATTAGATATTTCTTTATTTTTTTATCAAAAAAATTAAAAAATTATATAAATATATATATTTTTTAAAACTTAATTATTTATTTATCTAATTAAGGTGATTTAATTTTTTTTTCTTTTTTAAAATATTTTTTATTACATGAGGGAAGGGGACGAGGATCGATCCTCCATCTTTTATGTGGAAATCTAAGTGAATTTTATTTTAAATGAAAGTTTTCAAAAGTCATGTGAATTATACAAACAATTATAAAAGTTTTAAAATGAAAGTCTATAGAATCTACGATAGACTTCCATTACTTCCATACAAATATATAAAAATCCTCAAGAATTCCAATTGAATACACCCTCCTAAATAATAATATTTTTGTAAGTTCATCCGCAACTTGAAGAATTTTTAAAGTTAAATGACAATTAAGATATTTAACCCGTCTAGCTATACAATCGAAAAGGAAAAAAATTATGGAGCTTATAAAATAGACATGTGGGCATAAGTGGCCTTTACTTGGACCGTCTACTTGTGGCCACATGTATATTTCGTAAGCCTGGTGGATTTTGTTTTGAACGGAATGGTTCAACAGTGATCAAATTGAAATATTTTAAAACTAGAGTGACTAAAATTGTAAGGAAAAAACTTGAGGGACAAAAATGAACTTCTTGAAAAACTTCAGCGACTTCAAGTATTTTTGTATATACATGTACATGCATGCATGTAAGTGTGGGATGGGGTGGGTTTAGATTGTGGAGGAGATAAAAAATAGGTGGTGGGTCGTGAATATGTTTATGGGGTTTGCATGTGAGAGCACTGACTCCTGGGAGACACATCCTGCTACTTCATCAAAGTATAGCCGTGTATTCAATTGAAACTTTTATGGACTTTCGAAAATTTAGAAAGTGTAACGATGTTTATGTAATTTTTTTAAAACTCTCAAAAAATATTAATGTATTCAATAGAAACTTTGAAAAATTAGTCTATAAAAAATCTTTCAAAGTCTCGATGTGTTCAATCAATTTTATTTTTTTTAAGAAATCTTTTAAAGTTTAAATTATCAATTATTTTTAAAGCTTTTTATAAAAGTCTTTAGAGTGCTAATTTTTAAATAAAAAATATAAAAACAAAATTTCAAAAAATGTCTTTCATTCACCTAATAATTCTGGGAGATTTTAACGAAGGATTCATTTTAATATTTATTTTTTTATCTTTAATATTTTAATTCTTCTTGTCTTCTACGAACTTCGAAATTATGATTAAAATTTTATTATTTTTTCTTCTACCTGTTCTATTTGTTCTCTTTTCCCCCTTTTTTTTTCTCTCTTTTTTATTATTTCTCTTCATTTTCTATGAAAAAAGATTAAGCCCCTGTTTGACATTCATTCTATTTCTCATTTTTTTTTCTCTTTCTTCATTTCAACCACATTCTATCAATAAAATAATATTACACATAAACTCAAAAAAATTCCTTACTTTTTAACCACACCTTTTTTCATCAATCATTATTCCAAAATCTATTCTTTCCCGGAAATGGGTGTCAAACACAAGCTAAATTGTAATTAAAAATTCTTATAACAATTTGTTTCTTTTCTTCATCCAATTTTTTTTTATGTAAAAGATCAATTCGTAGTTAAATTTTATGTTATAAAAAGGCTAATTTGTAATTAAATTTTAAATATATTGATTAGTTATTTATTTTTATACATATTGATAATTATTGAACATTATTTATTTTTTAAAATATTTTTTAACTTAATTATTTATTTATCTAATTAAGGTGATTTGATCTTTTTCTTCTTTAAAATATTTTTTATTACATGAGGGAAGGGGACGAGGATCGATCTTCCACCTTTTATGTGGAAATCTAAGTGAATTTTATTTTAAATGAAAGTTTTCAAATGTCGTGTGAATTCTACAAAAAATTATAAAAGTCTATAGAAGTTTACGAAAGACTTCCATTACTTCCATACAAATATATAAAAATCCGCAAAATCCATAAAAGATACTCCACTTAAAAAAAGTTTATAAAAATCCTCAAGAATTCCAATTGAATACACCCTTCTAATCCTAAATGATAATATTTTAGTAAGTTCATCTGCAACTTGAAGAATTTTTAAAGTTAAATGACAATTGAGATATTTAACCCTTCTAGCTATACAATCCAAAAGGAAAAACTTTATGGAGCTTATAAAATAGACATGTGGGCATAAGTGGCCTTTAGTTGGACCATTGCAACTCTGCTTGTGCATAATTGGTGCTTCCAATGTACATTTTGCAATGGTTGAATGAGAGTTTAAGATCAAATTTAAGATTCACACACTGGGAAATTTCATAAATCGTGAAGGTGGAAATTTGAAATTTCAGCCCGACTGACGGCCGGCCACCAATGACCACATGTATATTTCGTAAGCCTGGTGGATTTTGTTTTTAACGGAATGGTTCAACAGTGATCAAATTAAAATATTTTAAAACTAGAGTGGCTAAAATTGTAAGGAAAAAACTTGAGGGACAAAAATGAACTTCTTGAAAAACTTCAGCGACTTCAAGTATTTTTGTATATACATGTACATGCATGCATGTAAGTGTGGGATGGGGTGGGTGTAGATTGTGGAGGAGATAAAAAATAGGTGGTGGGTCGTGAATACGTTTATGGGGTTTGCATGTGAGAGCCGGTGGTGTTGGGTGGCTGATCCACCCTCCACCATTAATGCCTCTAACCCCAACTTTAATTACACAATCCATGGAGTTTCACAATGACAACTATTGTTGAAGTATCATGACTTTCATGAAGTCTCTTTCCAATAAATAACTGATTAATTAATAGCCGGGAATCTAGGTTTAAAAAAAATAACAGAGTCATCCACAACTTTGACTTCTTATAAAGGTCAAAAAAAGGTTGTTGATGGTGTATTTATTGGCTATACTTTGGGTACTCTAACTGCCGCCTCGTTACGACGAACTATCTAAAGGCTTATGTGGGAGGGCAAGTACTGAGAAGTGACTTCATTATCTATCTAAAGGCCGACGTGGAAAAACAATGAAAGCATAGTACATTTTTTGTAGTAGGAGTTTGATGGTAGTGTAGAGAGTGAATAAGGCAACGACACTTTCTCACATTATATAATTCCCAAAGTATAGTGAGTAATCTGCCAAATGCGATCAAATGGAGTCCCACGAAATTTTTCAAGAGCGTTTGTTCTATCAGACTCTATTTATGTTGAAGAGAGTGTTTGTTCTATCGAACTCTATTTATGTTTGTTCAAGAGTGTTTTTTTGGGACAAGAATCGTTCAATGATAGTCCAAGCGGTCAATCATGACTATACATTTTCAATCATCCTCTCTAAGTTTCCCATCAATTGGATCTTTAGACTGTTGTGGATGCAAATGTTGAATATCATTGAGTGATATCTCATCAAGATCGGACCAGGCATATACATAACCATTGCTATCTATTGT